ATTAACGTTATAAGAGCACCAAGATGCATTATGTATCGTTGTGTTTTCATGATGTACGTGCAATAAGCGAAAGTGAGAGGTGGCTAGACGTTGTCAGGCCCACTTCTCCACATTATTGTTAAGGTCATGTTACATATTGAAGTAATAAGTCAATAACGAGCGATAAACACATAAGCGCCGTCACCGTCTGAGACCTCACAATGGCCGCTCTTACTTCACAGAGGGACAAACGCACCAGGAGCCCTTAGAGAATCGACCTTCACACATTAAATTTAAATTTTAAGGCTTGTGTGAAAAATGTCTTCATGTATTCAGATGAAGTGTGAAGAAATGGTTGAATAATTGACTGCTTTTGTCATATTATGGCTATATATCAGCTGTGCGGAGAAGTTCGTTACACAAAGCACCAGAGCGTCACGTTCGGTGATACGGACTCCTTGAACCATACATATCAAAGAAGGCTCCGTATGGTTTTATACATCTGTGCGTTATCCATGATATTGTTTCGATGAATAATAGACGAATGAAAACAAGTTGTATTTGTTACATCTGCATTATTCAGAAAGTATACATGAAGAATAAAATAAAACAATAAAGATTTTGTTTTCTTTCATTATTTCGTCGTCATCTTCCCCCACTTCAGGCCAGATATGATATGTGTGGATCAAAAGAACATATATTGTTTTTTTAACGAATATTAAAAAATGATGCAGCTCCAGCCTATAATTAATAGACAAAAGTTCAAATTAATAAGTTATCATTAAGTTTCATGTTTGAATTTTGGTACATCAAATAATTAGATATTTTATTGCAAGAAATAACAAATACACATTAGACAGATATTTTATTATATTTATTTAAATATTAAACTCCCATAGGTACTTGAAACAATATGCACATTCCTGAGATTCAACCAGATACGTGATAACAAGTCATTATGCAAATGAATCTATGCTAATGGACTCCTTTTTAATATTCATAATGATAAACGGTAAAAGAATACTGACGTTTGATGACGTATAACAGTGTGTGGGTCTCTGGTTTGATCACCTCAAGCAGATACCTTGCCATATATTATTAATAACAATCTTGTAGTCCCTGAAGCTCAGCGTGAATATCATGTACTGCAATATAGATATGTCAACATGCATGGTAAATGTTAATGGCTTGGTTGCATGAATAGTTGATATGATCAAAATAGTTAAAGTGTTTCATATTTCGGAAGGAAATGTTAACGTGTTTTGTATTATTCATACCGACAGTTATGTGAGAGCGAGGACGAAGATGTTAGCTGGAGTGCCTCGTATGACTGATAAGTAGTATTTTCTCATTAAGGGCCCTATGAGGGGCTAAACTTTCCCGAACGTGGGTTGTTGTCATTATTTATTAATCTATATAGTTGTTATTGATTAATTTGATACCTCTGGTTCATGGTGCAAACATGATAGAATTTGACAGTAGTGTTAATAATAAAATGATTGGTAACAATACTCTTAACTTGCTCATCATGGTATTTTTCTATTAAAAAAGTTGATTGAAAGCTTTTTAACAATCGTACAGAATGAAGTTTGTCTAGTTCGGCCTTAAAATATGTAATGACTCTAACACCTCCCCCAACTCTCTCTCTCTCTCTCTCTCTCTCTCTCTCTCTCTCTCTCTCATCTTGAATTTGAAACACGACCATTGGATTCTGGAACGCCAAAGGGGCGCAACTCCGCACAGCGAATTTGAGATACAAAAAACGTTAAAAAACAAATAAACATACAAAACACACACACACACACACACGCACTCACGCACGCACGCACGCACATACACACGCACACACACACACATTCCAGCCTCACCCTCCATGCAACTATTTATTTTGGCAACGCATCATTATATCAAGGGAGTGCAACTCTTGATTCGTAGCAGCTAAATTAGCATTTTTTTCAAAGCCGGTCGGATTTCAAATTTGAGTCTGTGGGGATAACAAAATCCCCCTTTATTTAGGGTTGTAGTAAACACGCGGGCGTACTGACAACGAGAAACATGAAAATGAACCCCTGCTCTAATATGCTCCCCGCCATTGTCGAGTCTTATTGTCAGGCTCCGAGCAGAATCACTCAGTATCGCTGTACTTTGATACCCACTTTCCCTGGTAATAAATATTCTTTAAACACAAGAGACTCTCATCAGTTATATCTGAATGACAAAGGAAAGGGAATAAGAGATCAATTATTTACGTGAGCTGGCGAATGAGCTCCAACGTTTTGTCGCAAGCTCTTAAGCGCTCGACTTTGAATCTGATGTGAACCCGATACTGCATAGCCCTATCAGAGGGAACGCGGAGTTGTAATGCCCCGATCTTAGCGTCATTTCATACACATTTTACACAGGCAGTTTTTACATGAAGGATTATAACGCCAGATTGTATTGGAGGATTATAGTGCCATATTGTATTGAATGACCCCCACAACGAGACTCTCGCTAGCTGAATCATTTCACACAGTGATGATCGCGCTTGTTGTCCCTCTTCAGTGATGTAGCTAAAAGGTCGGGAAATATTTCTTTTCACACAGCATAAATAATAGTGGTATGTGAAAAGCTCTTAAACTGTATTGTCTTACCACTGATGTGTCATGTGGGAATTGACATAAAATAGGTCCAATAATCCTTGGTATAGAGGGGATTTGTGAGCATGTATCTATGTCATCAAGTTAGAACTATTACAGATATATCACCGGGCATATAATCAGCAATATTACAGATATATCACCGGGCATGAAGTCAGCAATATTACAGATACATCACTGGACATATAGTCAGCAATATTACAGATATATCACCGGGCATGTAATTTGCAACATTACACATATATCACCGGGCATGTAGTTAGCAATATTACAGATATATCACCGGGCATGAAGTCAGCAAAATTACAGATATATCACCGGGCATGAAGTCAGCAAAATTACAGATATATCACCGGGCATATAATCAGCAATATTACAGATATATCACTGGACATATAGTCAGCAATATTACAGGTATTTCACTCGGCATGTAGTCAGCAATATTACAGATATATCACTGGGCATGTAGTCAGCAATATATTACAGATATATCACTGGGCATGTAGTCAGCAATATTACAGATATATCACTGGGCATATAATCAGCAATATTACATGTATTTCATTGGTTATGTAGTCAGCAATATTACAGATATATCACTCGGCATGTAGTCAGCAATATTACAGGTATTTCATTGGGCATGTAGTCAGCAATATTACAGATATATCACTGGGCATGTCGTCAGCAATATTACAGATATATAATCGGGCATGCCTGTAGTCAGAAATATTACATATAACCTATTACATTACAGTATCACAGAAGCATGCAGTAAGCAAGATTACAGCAATGTTCATATGTGCTAATTATCCCCTGCCAATGGGGTTTCATGCTCACATCAGAGACTCAGCTTCCCGGCTGCAGATCTGTCTCTCCTCCACAGTCATCATGCCTCGTGCTGATCTGGAGGTTCACAACCCACAACCCCACTCGTACCAACCTTTCCATGACAGGAATAAATTTCAATAATGCATATTCTGAACGCAACTGGTAGAGAATCGCACATATTATACGGCAGTTGTCTGTTACTGAACACGTATGGTAAATACCCTCAAATACAGAGCATTGACACATGAACTCCAGCAGAAAAACCTCTATGGAAATTGAATTTCAATCGTAAAGAAATTTACAGCGATAATTCTTTAGCATTGATCTTTTTCAGTCGTTGATAGAAAACCTGCATGACACGCATCGGCGTATGATAATTATTTAATGGCGTCTCTCACATGAAAGGGCCGAAATCTGTGATGTTTCTTCATCCTATGTAAAGTGATGGATGTAAAGCGAGAAATCTTTGCCTCTGGGGCCAACAATCACATTAGGGGTTTCCAACAAACAATCCACTGCTTGTGGTCGTGACAATAACTGTAGATACAGCGACACCGAAGATGCAATAAGCACATCAATTGTCTACCCGGGGAGGGGCCTTTCTCCCACTGCTAACCATCGGTAATCTATTTGACTTCATACGACAGGGCTCCGTGCTAACACCTCTTTCTCATGTCTCGTCACAACCGCAGTGTGCGGAGTTCTTGTAGGGCTGGCGTTTTGCCTGATGTAATGGAACATTTGTTGCCGTTTTAGTCGTGTTTTGGTCGGGAAAAACTTGACGCTTGTTCCTGTACATGACAGCATTGCATTGCAGTGTTTTAGATGATAATTCATTTTGTATTTAAAGAAATATTTGTGTAAATTATCTGTCTTGTATTATGAATGTAGGATTCGTGACTGCAGATATGTCTAATATACGTATTCATATATTTTGTCATTACAATGACATACGTTTGTACGACTGAACTTTTTTCTTGCATTGGGACTGGTCATGTATGGGGAGGGAGAGTGGGGTGGGGATGAGGGTGGGGGTGGATAATGGTCTTTAACTTTATCATCGTTTGCGGGCACACTCCCCATTTAAGTAACATTTTTTCTTTTCGTCCCCAGCCCCACACATCAATTCATGCCCCCCACCCCCACCCACACCCACACCCACACGCCTACCCCCACCACACCCCAAACCCCGACCCACACCGCCACACCCACCCACACCCACAGTAATAAATGACCAGACTCTAAATCAGTCTGTATGGGGGTGGTTGGATAGCCTAGTGGTTATTGTATCATTAAAAAAATTGTAAAAAGCCGCAGTCTGCAATAGTCGTGTTACACCACAGCATACTGTTAATAAGTCTGGACAACCAAACCAGTGATTGATATTATGAGCAACGTCCCACAGTGGACACAATCAGCCAAGTCCCGGGCCAGATAGACCTCCTGATCGTCTATATTCGCTGTCACCAGTCTGCCCTCCTCGAGCCAATTGGAAACCGGACCACCACGGATTAGAGTGTTCGAAGTGTTTAATGTGTGCGTTTGATCTTGCAGGTTACTGTACCAGAGACGACAAGCTCCCCAACGTCTGCGGCAGAATCACCGGGGACGACATTCTTCACACCATTGTAAAAGGTGAGTCACTTGTAGAGAACAGGGCATTTACATGGTAGGGAGTGGGGTCAATATAAGCAAACACGTGTAATATGCCATAACGTTTGTTTATATTGTCTCCCCTACCTAAAGGTCGAGCGCAAGACGGAGTTACGCGTTGGGGGAATATATAAGCAGCATTTCATCTCGCCGAGACCGGCTGCAACTCTCATGTGTTTGAAAACACGCTTTGGATTACCTTCTTGGTCTAAGATGTGTTTCTTTTATATCAACTCGGGGTCTGTGAGCTTCCACAAACACGGACTTGCGCGTTGCCGCTCGGCTCCCTATTATCGTCGTATTTACATTATGACGAGAAGCAGACAGCCAGATTCTCATCTATAGCGCTGCCGTATCATGTAGTTCTGGCTGAGAACACGACTCGTTGTGGTTGTATTACACCCGTTCTGTCAGACATGACATTGTCTCTTGACCTCACCTTAGGAGAAGGAGGAGGAGCGGCGTGAATTCCGATAGACGCGGCGGAGCCCTGATACATGGGCCAAGGAGCAAGGGTGTTCTTTGATAGCGACCACTTGCAATTCACGGGATGTCTCTCGATGAGGCGAGGGTAGATAGCGAGTATTCTAACCCATTAATCCAGTCATTGTTCTGCAGAGCCCTCCCAGCATCTAAAGGCGTGGTACCAGGATTTAGCAACATCGATCACTTTTTACGCTTACCTCACTCGAGACAGTGTTGGGAGAATAGCTTACCATACGCTCCTCGCAGCGACGGCGGCATCAGTGCAAGGAGGACAAATGTTATGCCCATCTGGGACTCCACACAGTGCTTTCATGGTCCCAGATGCTCCAAGTCACATTTTTATCTTCTGTTCCAAGGAAACATAATTGCAATTGTATGACCTATTTAGAAGAAAAAGCTATTTACTTGTACATCACTGCAGCACAAATTACCTTAAAGTTTATGGTGATTTATTCAACAGACGTAGGAAACATCTATATTGTATATTATATGACTTAATATCTCGTTTAGCGTGCATTTCTACTTAAGTGATCAAATATAGGTTTGTATATGAATATCTGAGGTGACCAAAATGCGTGTTGGTCCAATTTCGTAGTCATTGGACATTATATTGCACTGTTTATTCAGATAGATATAGGCTTCATGAAATGCAGAAAAACTAAAAGGGAAAACTATTTATGAATCCTTGTTGATTCATTGGTCTGACAAGTAAAGTCATGTGTCACCCTTCCATGAGGAGAGGTCATTGTTTTTGTGCAGTGTATCATTTCATAGACAATTGGTGTATAGAAAACAGTCCATCAATTCGTCAAGGAAATAATGCTTCTCCTTATGTTAATGGTATTACTGTTTCATCCGCCGTTTAGTAGCCTAGTGGTTAAAGCGTTCGCTCGTCACGCCGAAGATCCGGGTTCGATTCCCCACATGAGTATTATGTGTCACGAAAGCCCATTGGTGTCCCCCGACGTCACATTGCTGGTATATTGCTAACAGCGGCGTAAAACTATACTCACTCTCTCGTGTTTCACCCAGCGCTCACTTTTATGTGACGTTTTAGAGAGATACAGGGTTTTATAGTGGCATGATGATTAAGGAGGCACAGTGGACAATGCTATTACATGCTTTAATGTGTATTGTTACGGGACATAACGACCCACTGGTTCGGGGCGACGGAATTCGCTGTACAGTTTTACGTCCCTTGACATGCCAGGATGCTGTGATCGTGGTTCGAATCCAAGATGTGTCCTGGTTATATGGACATAGTGGCCTAGTGTCCAGGACGACAGAATTTGCTATGGGTTACGGCCCTTGACTTACCAGGATGCTGTGATCGTGGTTCGAATCCCAGATGTGTCCTGGTTATATGGACATAGTGGCCCAGTGTCCAGGACGACAGAATTCTCTATGGGTTACGTCCCTTGACTTACCAGGATACTGTGATCGTGGTTCGTATCCCAAATTTGCCCTGATTATTATCTTTGGTATGTCAGTATCATTCCCGTGCTCATGGGTCTCGCCAAAAAGATAAACATCTGAACCTTTCATGATTATTGTTTCACGTTAAGCTCACACGACATGATATGACCGAAATACTGTAAACCCAACTCACTTAATATGTCGTAAGAGGCGACTAACAGAATCTGGTGGTCAGACTCGCCGACTTGGTTGATGCATGTCATCGTATCCCAGTTGCGTAGATCGATGCTCATGATATCAATCACTGAATTGGCTGGTCCAGACTCGATAAGTTACAGACCGCCGTCATATAGCTGGAATATTGCTGAGTGCGGCGTTAAACAACAAACAAACAAACAATATGATATATATCGTTTAACCAAAATATTAACCTTTTTGAAAATATCCTTCCTTTTATTACAGTACCGAGTGTCCCCGTGCCCTGCCCCTTCCAGGGTCCGTACTCCTTCTCCTACAACAACCAAACCAACAGGGACTGTGACAGCCCTTCTTCCGAAATCCAAGAATGTGCGGATAGTTCAAAGTTCATCTTCAAGTATAAACGGTGCCAGCATACCCCGGAAACCCGCGATCAAGGTATGTGAAAGCTTACCATCCAGACCGACTGAAAGGTCATATTACGCGAACACAGAGTTAAAGCAGTGGTTTTAAAAGTATAGTACACACGCATGATCACACTTGAGTCTAATCACGTTGACCTTTCACGGCCAGCGCGACTAGGCCATTTTATTTAAAGTACTACGGCACCCCACCGGGAGAAATGGTTGTACTGGATGAAACTCGCTAGAGAAACCAAGATAAAACGATTTTCCCCATTATTCGCTTCTTAGTAAACTTTAATGGACTCAATACTATTGGCGTGGGAACAGACCTAGGATCTATGGGCGACATTTATCGTGGTTGCCAGCACCTAATAAGGCTCACGTCGTGCCTGGCGACGCTTAATCGCAGTCTTATAGTCCGATTTTAGGGGGTAGTAGCGCCAATCTAGCTCAACCATGCATAAATAAAGGTTACACATCGCTTTGATGCAACCTGGCTTATACAGAAAATACACATTCTCTACCAGGTTCAATATTGACAAAATAAATTCGTATTTGTTGGCATTAATTGGGGACGTATCTCGGAATAAAGATACATGAACTGGTATATAACACAAACACTAGTCCTCTTGACTTTTGAGGTCTTAGATCAAAACATTCTTCAAAGGAAGCTCTTGTATAAACCTTTCAGAAAGGAAAAGCCATTAATGCTTCCAAGGTCAAATACATCACATGACCTTCGTTTAAAGTTAACTTATCTGGTAAATGAATGTTATTTAAATTAATTCCTTCTGTGAGCAGCACTAAAACCTGCAAATAACGCACTGACTCCAAAACACATATGTCCTGAGTGCAAAAGCACTGTCAATTTGCAGAGTTGCGTCCCTTAGCCTAGCCAGGATTCGTTGATCATGATGTCGAATCTGATATTCGCCCTGATTGATATCCTCGATCTTTCAGCACCTTGCCTGTGCTAGTGTCATCCACGAAAGTTTTTAAGTTTTAATTTTGTTCAAAATGAAACTGTCATGTTTCAGTTGCTTAAAAACGGGGACAATTCTTACCCATTCATTCATCCACACTTATTGTTCCATCCTTTGTTTTAAAGATAAAAAAGAAGGAAATTCAAATTAAAAACACAATTAGTGCAATACGCACAAAAAATATGTTTCCAGATTGGTGAATAAGACAACACATATCAACTAGTTCCTATCACAAAATATCCTTTTTCAGACTAAAAAAAACATACATTAGGTTTTATTAGTCAGAATTACTCACATTCCACGGCAAAAAGTCAAGTCCTTAAACACACTGCAATATGGTTCCCAGTGATAACAGAGCATGGCTCGACGACCTGGCACCATTTGGCATCAGTATCACAATAAGGCGCGCTGTGTATTCTCATGCAATAGAATTCTTAAATGCCAGCTCAATATATCACAGATGCCCAATATCGTGGCAATTGTTGCTTTTGAAATACCTGACAAGCTTTGTGATGGCCACTGCTTTAAATCTTCCCCACTGTCAAAAATCCAATAATCGTTTATGAGGGAGGCTAGTTTATGGAGTGACTCACAATAGACTAAATGATGATAAATATATTTGATAAGAATATTCTGTTTAATCAGTTGATGAAAGAACATGCAATGCTGGCATATTAATTTTGAAATACCATCCGAAAAGGCAGTTCTATTTCAGTTGATATTATCGCGTTTATAAAAGAGAATGTATTGATTTCAAATAAGCAAAGTACAATTTATCATTTTACTGTAGCAGCAAGTCTAAATGTCTGCATAATGGGTGTCTGTGACTGGTTGGTTGGTTTGTTGTTTCACGCCGCACTCAGCAATATTCCAGCTATATGACAGCGGTCTGTATATAATAGTCTGGACCAGACAATCCAGTGATTGATATCTTGAGAATCGATCAACGCACTAGATATCGATAACATGCTTCAACCAAGTCTGACCTGACCACCCGATCCCGTTAGTCGCCTCTTACGACAAGCATATGCGCCTTTTATGGCAAGCATGGGTTGCTGAAGACCTATCCTACCCCGGATCTTCACGGGTCGGGTGTATATGATGTTAGGGCCATACATGACTTAATTTCCACCAATGGTTATCAATTTAAGATGAGTTCTTAGGCGGGGTATCATTTTTATTTGTTTGTTGTTTAATGCCGCACTCAGCAATATTCGAGCTACATTACGGCAGTCAGTAAATAATCGAGTCTGGACCAGGCAACCCAGTGATTGATATCAAGAGCATCGATCTATACAATTGAGATACAATGACATGTATCAACAAAGTCAGCGAGCTTGACAACCCGATCCCGCTAGTCGCCTCATATGAAAAGCATAGTCGCCTTTTACGGCAAGCATGGGTTGCTGAAGACCAATTCTAACCCGGATCTTCACGGCGCGCGGTGTAATGGTTTTGTACTACAACTATTAGGAAATTAAGATTGGTAGTAAAACCGTTACCAAATGATGATATAAGCATGCTTGGTGTTTCAGATATGCAGTTCCAATGCCTAGCGACATGGTTCAACGGCGATTTCTTTCTGTATGGAATGTTTACTGGTTCTGGCTTAACGGAACATACACAGATGTACCGTTGCTTCGTACGTATCTTCCGAAGAATTCCTCTCCACAAATTAGAAATACTTCCTGTAATTGGTGGGGCGATCTTCTCCCGTGCAGCACGTGCTCGGCATGATTTGTGTCGGCTGCTCGCCCCCGAGCAGACGACACCCCTTCTGGTTCTCCTGTCGAACGTTTGTTGGTGGTGCAGACATCGTTCTGAAGTTTAATCTCAAGAGTGTTAAGAAACATTCCATTACTTTGTGGCCGTGCCTAATGATATAAGAGATTTACATTCCATATGTAAAGTTTACCTTGCCTGGTGACGGGATCTGGCCGCGAGCGGCCGCCATTCCAACTGGGAGCTATACCGACTTATCCAGTTAGAAGGTCTTTGATAGTTGTGTAATGCCTTCATCCAATTTCCCTTTCAATTAGCACCACTTGCAGTCCCCAGATTCGCCCTGTGCGGAGGGAAAGAGTGCAGCATCGCCAAGAGTCGTTACAGTATTACTTTTACCAGTCAGGTTTACTCGTTCATTCAGAAAATAAGACATGTTCCACAACTGCGTCGGTTGTTGATTGGGGACGAAAAAAACGCACTCCTTAATTCCGCGTTGCTCGACCACCGACCTCGTACTGTCGAGCTCATCGATTGCCTCTGCCTGGCTTTGAGAAGTTATCGTGAGGAGATCGCCCGCCAACTCAATTGTATTCATATCCCGTTTAGATCGTGTCCATTGTATATACTTCCTTCATTCGACTGGTCCGAGTTTGCGGTAGAACCAGAGCTAGGTTTATATAGGTGCGGATCTAAAAACAAACCTTGCGCGGGTCCTCTAGCTTCCCCCCGAACTTTACGTCAGATAACATCTCCCGCTCATAATGTCATCAAACTCATGCTTACACGAAAAACATATCTTGAAATTCCTATTGGAGGTTTTGCTGAAGGAGCAGAGATGTATATGAGCCGTGTCATACTTGTAACAGGAATTCGTGCACGATCCCCTTCTGTGCAGTTGCAGAATTTCTTGTCTTCATTGGATCTAAAAAAGAAGTTGTCTTTGTTGTCATGGTGACCCGGGATACCATGTACTTCCACATTTCCTCCTGGCTGCCTCGAGCGTTATGAAAATATTAGGGTTAAATATCACAAAGTCATGAATAATTGTAGTGAATGAATGTTTGCTGGAATAAGTCAACAAAAAGAAGTATTTGACAACCAAATAAATAAATCATTAAGTGAACGAAAGAAAGCTATTGTCATCTAATATAATTCATTATTTTCATATAGTTGCACATATAGACGTGAAAGAAAACAGTTTATAAAACTAGTTGTTTTTCTGTTTAATGTTGATTTTTAATAAACGATTTTCGTAGATTCACTGACAATGTTACCTTACGTGATGTTTCTACATCATCTCTGCTGCAGATGTACAGTTTCTATGGGTCCCAGGGTCAGATGGCGATGTCGGCTGACCCCACATGTCAAGGAATACAGAGCCCCAGGACGGGATACCTCACCATGTCTCTGTCCCGTGAGTATCCCCACCCCCAACCCCCTACCACCACCAAGAACCTACCACAGGAAGAAAAGCGATGATTTATTTCCCCCAAATACAATATATACAAGCTTTGAAAATAACATCTAAGGCTTGTATATGTTGAAAATCGCAGTCTAAACAATGTGTATGTTGTATATATCTAAGTCTATAGGAAGAGTATACAAAGGATATTTATCTTGGTACATCAGCACCTTTCGTCCTGTGCAAGGGACCAAACCTTTACATTTCAGTTGGGGGTTAAAACAAGACGCCAAAGTATTTTTTTCAGCATTTTCCGGAAAACGTTATATGTTTAAAAACCTCTTCCTCCAGAAATTCAAATGGTCTGCCCCACATCTGCACTTGTATATCACAGGAATAAATAACACCAGTCCACATATATATTACTCGAAAGAAGTTAAGGCCCACTCGATTCTTTCATATAACTGTAAGTAATCTGTCATGGTAGATGTCATGTCATGGCAAGGCTGATTACCTATAGTAATATGAGTGAGTGAGTGAGTGAGTGAGTGAGTATGGTTTTACGCCGCTTTTAGCAATATTCCAGCAATATCACGGCGGGGGACACCAGAAATGGGCTTCACACATTATACCCATGTCGGGAATCGAACCCGGGTCTTCGGCGTGACGAGCGAACGCTTTAACCACTAGGCTACCCGACCGCCCCTATAGTAATATGAAAGAATCGGGTGGGACTTCACTTCTTTTAAGTTTGTTTGTTTTGTTTGTTTGATGTTTAACGCCACACTCAGCAATATTCCACCTATATGAAGGCGGTCTGTAAATAATCGAGTCTAGACAAGACAATCCAGTGATTGACATCATGAGCATCGATCCATTGGGATACGATGACATGCATCAAGCAAGTCAGCGAGCCTGACCACCCGATCCCGTTAGTCACCTCTTACGACAAGCATAGACGCCTTTTACGTCAAGCATGGGTTGCTGAAGATCTATTCTACCCCGGATCTTCAGGGGTCTCTTTTAAGTAGTATATCTGCGAGTACTGTCCCTCACGAAACCCACCATCTTGTGATATGACTAAAACACTGCCAAAGACGTGAATTTCTTTTACTCACTCACTCACCCATCCATTCTGTCTCAGGGGCTGTGAAATGGACACCACCTTCCTGTTCCTTCAACGAGTTTCTGTCGGTGTCACGAGAATGGCGAGATATTGCCGGCAAATTCCGGTTTGTGCTGGACGAAGATATTGAGCAGTTCCGCATCTTCAACGTTGGTGGACGAAGAGGTGGCCGGTCGGCGCTGATGTCGGTGAGGTGCATGGGGATCGTGGAGGAAATACCCGACATCAGCGACAACACGGCGACGTGGCCGAGTCAGACATACAGCAAGGACTTTATTACCTACACAACAAATGATTCATGGTATGTATTCATTCTTCTTTTTCAACACAAACATTATGTAACCTGTCAACAATTTTTGGAATCCTAAGAAAATTTATGTTTTTGTTCTTACGGGAAATGGTTTTGGGTTCCATGGAGCGAAACAATATTTTCTCACATTGCCGGAGCTACCATTTCCTTCCAAAGATAGAACATAGAAAATTAGAAGGCGGCTGTTGTTTCCTATATAAACAATGAGTTTGTGTAGCTGTGATCATTAGCGATGGGTAGCCGAGTGGTAACGGCGTTCGTTCCACCCGACGAAGATACACGTGTTCTTTTCCCTGTGTACAATAAGCAAAGCCGTTACTGGTTCCCATGAGATTGTCAAATACAGCTGAAAGCGGCGTAAAATGATACTCACTCTCGCTAATGTCCGTAACTATCATATATTCTGGGCATTAATAATAAAGGGACAGAAATGTGTCCCTTAAAACCTATGATCGTGGGTTCGAATCCCCGATATTGTTTCTTGGTGGGTCAGCACCATACCCGTGCTCGTAGGTTTCACCGAAGTGGTAAACGTCTGAAACCTGTATCACTTCGGGTTTTCCTCCCACATTAAGCTGACACGCCGTGACATAACTGGAATACTGTTCAACGCGGCATTAAACCCAACTCACTCACTCATTAATAACAAATTCATCTTATTCATTTTTGCCAATTGCAAACCAACTTCCTTACAGTTTATTTGATCTTTAAACATGTTCACCATTATGTTAAAATGCCATATCGCCTAAATAAGCACCAGCTGATATTTGTTTTACTGGAAAGTCAGCCATCAAATCTATAAATGCATTTTATGATACACTGGATGATGACTCTGACTGCAATTGTTATTTCTTGAATCTTTCCGTGACTCGATGCTTTGTTTCATCTGGGTATTAAAGTGTTGTGCTTCTGAGTCGAGGGTCTACTTAAAGACTATGAAACAATATTATTGCAAACAAAAGACACTGCACCTTCGACGAAAGGTAAAATGTCAGGAACCCTTTTAACTACGTAAGTACAAGTAGCGGAAGTCTTCTCAGCATAACGTGGAGAAGCACCAATGCTGCTTCCTGTAATCCTTCCTTGACTTTACCACAGCTGCTGCCCTTCGCGAAACATTCGTCATAGTTACTTAGAATAGCAAACCCTAATTGTCTGCGAGGACAATTCTATAATTGATCCTTCCTTTGAATGAAGTCACCACTAATATTTTCCTTGACTAATCCTGGCTCCAAGTGCCCGATGCTTGCACCTCTTGCCTTGTGTAGATGCTGCTTGGTTTCAATTGGGCAGAGTGAGGGAGACCGATTGCTTTGGTAGTTGCCAGTCAATACGAGACAGCAGTGCCGGCTAGGTATTGATACAAGCTAGAATGGTGGGCCTAGTGAACAAATGTGTCTTGGCTTTGACCTGTTTCAATCACTTGAAGCTCAATGGTTAAATATTAAGTAGTGTAACGTAGCTATGTCCATCTTCAAGTAGACGGCCTTCAACATGGGGTCGTACCAGGCGGCTTGGCTATCAGCGTCTTAGCCTTCGCTCTGACCAAAAAACTACTTAATTTACTTTATAGTGCTTGGAAGCGTTGCTGACCCAAGTGGGTTAAATTATTTAGTTGTTTTCACGCCAGTTTTCTTCAAGACCAGACGGGTGAAGAATAGAAAGAACTCTGCAAGTGTCCCAGAGTCTAAGAGTGGATCAGGAAAGGATGTTGGTGACAAAGTGACGAGGAATTATTCCTCCTTTGCCCCTGGAGCCTACTGTCTGGAGTCGCATTAGGCTCCACGGGGCCTTGAAGCCATCAGGGATGTTACAAGTGTGATGCGAGACAGATGGTAACTGAAATTATGGTCACCACCATCACATACTGCGACATCGTGTACAACCTGTTTGACTCTCATCCCAGCCCTAATTTTTGTTTCTTGTTTAAATAAGCACCCTGAAATATTCCAGCTGTATGATAACAGACTGGATCAGACAATCCTAGTGATAAGGATCTACGATGTTTGAAAATGATGTCGCTATTGATAAACTGCAACTCGAGAATTTAAAATTACATTATCTATATCATTTGGATTGTGGAGTTGTTCACACTACGTACGTACGATAGCCGTGCACTACAGGTTACGCACTTTACAGTACTCACATCCCGTGTTCAGATGCGCAGTAACACACATCCTCTAATATAACCGTGTTCACCGACGCGCGCTACCAACATCTACGATAGCCGTGCTCACTTACGTACGCAACACGCATCCTCTACGATACTCGTGTTCACCAATGTACGACACAATCCGTTGATAGTCGGAACCCTACACTTGACCCTTTAAGCAGGGATTATTTATGATTATGAAAAGGTTTTATCGCTTTAATTTTAATATACCGAACAAATTAAAACTCGGTTTGTTTTCAAGGCGGGTTGATCAGTTGTTTCCAGCCTAACTGTATGCACGGCAGAGTGTAAAACGGACAGCTAAACTACCAATGCTCCCTTTGCTGACTGAATCGATACTGACTGGAAACACATCATTGTCGAGTCCCTCTCTTACACATTAGTAGAATCATCACATATATGTGCTTATGCTGGAGGGTGTATCATTACGTAGGTGTTATAACAGTATTACCATCCTATACTCCCCCATTTAGGGGGCATGCTTCCTGTTTTTGAGGTGACCAAATTTCTCAGTTCCTTTATCCAAGACGTTTGGGTGTCAATGCACCTAACCGTAGGATATCTCCCTTCACTATGACATACTTCAGAAGGCACCGAGCAACCAATGAAGCTTGGCATATAGCCAGAAGGTGGTCCATAGCTTGCAGTTTCAATAACATTTACTTAAGGATTTTGTAAAAATCAATACCAATAAAAACCACACCGGCTGTGTATCTTTTTCCCTTCCTTAGGGCTTCAGCGTGGCTCAGTGGTGCCCATTGCAGGCACCATAGGTTTGGGGCCATTTGATTTTCAATCTCATCACGTCTGGCTTTTTTCTCGTGTTTCAGTGTGTCCAAGTACCAGTGTCTGAGGTTGAGGAAGAGGGGACCGGCCGTGGTGGAACTGATGCTTGGTGAGTGGTCAATTACATTACGTCAGTGTATATACCAGCGTCTGAGACGCTTCCACTGGTGATGGTACACGGTTACATGCATTATGAACGCTGATCAATTTGCAATGTTTAAACTGCTGCGAAAAGTTTCCCAAAACTTTTTAAGGTAAGTATTACTTGATACTGTATAGCGGTTTGAGATGGAGAGTTTCTGTCACACGTAGGGGGTACTCTAACTTTGTGTAACGTAGACACTGACGTGACGTCAAATGAAATCGTATTACGTCCTGATTATTATTGAATTCAAAGTCGACCATCTGTGACAGACGTATTTAAATGGTTTTCTTTCAAGTTTACTGGAGAACTAGTGTGAATGGAAGGAAGCTTGTAATATGGATTGTTGAGATAATTTTGTTTAGTTACATAATTAATCTGTTTTAGGTACGCCTGTGAACGACCAGGAACGTGCGTGTAACGAATGGAGCTTCGACAACGTCCACAAATACGTCATACTTCGTAAGTATAGAATTCAGTGACATCCTGTGATAAACGCATGTTTTTTATTGTAAATACGTTGTGCTACTGAAGTGTTAGGTGAAACCCTAAAAGGAGAAGCATGCATGTTTCTGAATGCACATGTGTCATGCTGGTTATGTGTAAAGTGAATCTCTATGGCAATAAATGCATGCTTCTGATTGCACATGTGTCATGCTGGTCATGTGTGAAGTGAATCTCTATGGCAATAAATGCATGCTTCTGATTGTAAGTGCGTCACGAGTCAGTGGTGAAAGATGCATGATTGAGATAGCAAATACAACGCAACTCCTATTTCGTATAGTTATAGATGCACGTAGCATGTACGTGTAATATGACCATACAGTGACAGACATTTCAGCCTTGCCTTTGTGAGCAATCGAGAATGGTAACTTGAAACAACAGAGATCCATGCATCTGATAGACCAATGTGTGTGAGATGTATCTGAAACATGCATGCTCTATCGTAGTCGTCGTGATGTTTCCGACTCCGCTGACAGATCGCCCCAGTTGCTGCCGGCGATATGCCTCGACCATCCAGCCTTGATTACCATATGATACCCAGCTCGTTTCTAAGATGTTTCTCCGTGACGTTCATGTCGATGCTGGCTACAATTAAACCACTGTTATGTCAGATTAAATCTGCTCTGACATTACAGCACGTGTTTTAAATATCGACAATAGGGTTATCAAGGGTTTTCCTGGTTCATTTATATTAGTATCACTTATCCCAAAACGTGCCTTTCATGAGTCGTTAGTTTGTGCCTGGACACCGGAACTGGCCGCCATGTTGCCGAGAGAAGCCACGCAGACTGCAAAGGCAGGTCGAAACAAAAGCTCCATTCAGCTGCCCCCTTGATGAATTTGACATGTGTGTTCAAAAAGGAAACGGTTTTTCTCCAACTTGTGTGGTTCCAGAGGCAAAATCTAGCTTTGTACAAGCTGATCAATACTGCATCTCGTCCACCAGAGCGCCAATGAGAGGACTATTGTTCCTTCGCACGTGCGATGCGTGCCCGTTTGCGCTAATCCCTTCAACGTTTTTCAGATTTCTCTCTGCGATAGCCTAAGTCTTCCCCACTGTAAAACAAGTCGCGATCTCGCCCTGATGTAATCATTGTATCAAATATTGATCAGTCCGTGATTAAAGGTAGGGCGCTAGACTGAAGTAGTGACTGTCTTTATAGCGGGTCACCGTGTGCACACTTCGTTGATTGAAACACGGAGCTGGATGCTGGAGTAGCGGGCTAAAGTAATTGTTTCTAGCGCTAATTAGTCGTCAAGCCATTGCATTACAATACGGTTGAGCGGAGGGGACTGTGGGCACCTCCACATTTAGGCCAGCACTTAGAAACGATATTTCCATCAGTTCTGAAACGGCGAGGGAACAAATCTGTTTCTAATCATTAGGCCCATTTCATTTGGAATACGAGTTTGCAAAACATGCTTTCAACATACTCAAATAATTGAAACTGTGCGGCGCCTTTTCTCTCTGTGTTCGTTGGAGTGTAAGGAGAGAGTAAGGTCTTGCCAAGTCTGTTTTGTGTCCGGTGCGGTGATCGAAAAAAGGACAGAGTCCAGAGATTTTTATTTTGGCTTTAGGAAAGCACACGCCCTTCGTGGAAAATCGGCGTTAATCAATGACCAAAACCTTTCAGCTCTGTTTTGGCAAGGGTTGTTTATCATCGAACCCCATCGAGAATTAATGTTCTCGCTATCAACCATTGGTTTGGAAAACACACAGCTGTGTGCTGGCAGAGCTAGTGTAACATATTGCCGTGACGACGTGAATTGATGCCCTCGCTATCAACCGCTGGTTTGGGAAACTATACGCTGGGTGCTGATGGTGCTGGTTTGTCATCGTGCCCCTGCGGCGTGCAATAATAATGCCCTCGCTATCAGTCATTGGTTTGTACGCTAGTTTATCGTCGTACCTCAAGGACGGGAATCGGTGTTCACCTTGGTGTGTCTATGCCAGATTCGACCCCTCATTTCAGGTAACCTACGCCTACGTCGTTAATGCGTATGACCCAGTGACTGTCCTAACCCTGCAATGTGTGTAGATTGATATATGTGTAACTGCTCTTAATCTCCACAGCCATGGAATCTCGAGTTGTGCCATGCCCGCTTCCTGGAAGCTATTCGTACGTGGACAAAATGTCCGACTGTCGAGGAGAGATCGAGATAGGATGTTCGGACTCGTCAATTATGGCCATCAAAGCTTCCTGCCCTTCTGGACACCACACAGGTGAGTTTAGTGATAAATATAACATAAGAAACTGACCATTTAATAGTTAAAGGTGGGTGGGAGTGGGGGTATTTGAAAGGAACAGAATATTTTCTCGGTCACTACTTCAATAAAAACGACAAATTCCATTTCCATAATCATAAGAAATCCCTGCTGATATCACTGTCTATTGTACGATTCTGACCACACCAATAAGCATGTGTTTATAAATTACTAAATAATGTCGTCAGCAGGTGTTTTTGCGAAAAGGTGAGCATATCCTGCTCCACCGGTGGAACCCGTCACAAACACATGCAAGGGCAAGTCAATTTTACACCTGAAAAAAAAGACAAAATTGCCCAGGACATCACTGATGCGTCAAATTTGGAATTGTCTTGCACATACCACAAGACGTTTTGAAAGCATTATCGAATGTGATGACGCTCTTTGAAATCTTTGAAATCAAACTCGAATGTGCCTTCAATGTTGTGAAATGTAGACACCAAATACATACATTTGTTATCCCCGAGAGGATAAACCTAACATTTTTTATGGACGCCCAGCATATCGAGCGAAACATTTTTTAAGTAAAACCTCCGGCGAAATTATTTTTCAACTATTTTCTGAAATAAATCATGTGTTTCCTATGTAAATTGCTCGAGTCTAAAAAATGAGAAAAAAATGAAGGAAAGGTCCATCCAATGTAAACACCGTATGGTCATCGGTTTGCTATGATAATGTGATGTATTAGAAGCAGAAGTTTGACTTTCTCCACGTGAACATAAATCACAAAATGCATCAATTATAAAACCATAATTTCAGCCGGTAGACTGTTATGTTTGTATATTGCGGTAATGAAGAGGCCCTGGTAGACAATCTGGGCTCACTGATAGGGCATGTTAGTGCAAAATAGTGATTTGTTATATTGAAGGCATCTGCTAGAATTAGATTTAGCCGAAAACAATTACTCCACCTTTCATGTTAAATCCTCGACGGTCATTACAAACGTTAGTGCAAACGCACAATTTTACCATGTTTTACAGAAAAAACAAATAGCGTGTTTCATAAACGATGATTAGTCGTTTTCATCGTCAGTTAGTTGTAATTGATTTTGGGTTTTTCATTTTCAAAACGGTTGTCTTGTTTTATGATGTATGGAATCACTGTTGGGTGTTTCTTCACTTCCAAATGGTTGTTGAAAGGTTATGAAGTCACGACTGAGGAAAGAAAGTCCCAATCCCATTGGATACCCCGGTGCTCTGGCATTGATGCAATACTGCAGTGGAAACAATTTGTCAGAAACACAACTTTATTTGTAAACAAATTGCTTAGCATGAACCATTTCAACGAAAGATTTTTGCTAATTCCCTGGGAATTAATTAACTTGACATATTCAGCGCTGAATTCGCCACACTGGGATTACTCAGACCTGTTTTAGTTAACAAGAACTATTTTTTGGAGTGAGGCTAATTTCCTCCAGATTAACTGTCATGTACCGTTATGTTCGCTATTGGTCGACAAGGCCGCGTTGCCACCATAACAGGCTATTTAGCAATCAACATAAGAAACTCCACAACTCAATTTCTCGTATTTTGCGGAAGATCTGAAACGAAGATCAATCAAAACTCACACTTTTTCCCTAAAATTTTCATTGTGTCACAATGGAATTCAATTGGACTTTATTTCTATGTTTGAAATGTTTTTTCATGGTGTGGTTGTCACCATCAATTGAGTGGAAGCTGTACAAATATTTTCAGAGGAGATTTTTTTGTAGGAGTGAAATCACTTTGGACACGGCAGTTTGCGTGACATTTCTGCATTTTGCATGTATTTATAAAGCATCTCTCAATTATACATTTATGAACGCGTCTTGCTTTACAGAATGAATTCTTAAATATTGTATACTGTCAGTTTGGAGACAGAAATGCGATTGCTGGTGGAAATTGACACATTTTTTAAGCAAATTTGCATAACCTTTTCAATTTTTTCTTTGAAGCCGAAAGGTATACCAGTTATACTGTTCTCAGCATAGTTCATTTATAATTATTATTATTATTATTATTATTATTATTATTATTATTATTATTTCAGTGGAGCTCTTCCAGTGCAACCAGAACTGGACGGAGCACCCGACGGGTGCCCAGTACATCATAACAAGCAAGCCGGGCGACACCATCCAAAAGGTGTCCGACTGTCTGGTGGGTAGTTGTCACGGGCTCTCCTCCTTGTTTTTTGGTCCCACCTCTAACATTTTCCCATTCCGTTATTGACAAATGACACAAACTGCCTTTTCAGCAAAGGCCCACCCGGCTTCGTGTCAAGGGGGTAAGGGAGATAACTCACCAACATGCATACCACTAGATATTACATCATTACGATTCCACTGAAGTAGAAAGAAATTATTCCAAATGACCGATGAACTGCACTTGCATGTGATCAACACGCTTGCACTTAAACCAAGACTGACAAAAAGCAGAACAAGAAGGTCGATTCCCTTTCAAATGCACAGATGGAAGAAACAGACACCATTTGGTTGTTGTTATGCATCAAAAAGCAGCCACCGTTTAATACTTTGGTTGCTTGATTTATAATAAGTATGTTGATAGAGAGTGACAACAAACAATCTTGTATCCACATCCTCATATACACACGTTCAGCCTAATACTCCATAGCTGGGTTTATTGCTGCGTGAAAGACTTTAATTATACGCTAATGTCTTCGAGGAAGATGCCTTGAAATATGACTGTAGATTTATGAGCTCTTAATGCCTAACATTGATAGATACTTCCAACATGGAGACGCTTGGGTGGGTGGTAGGGCACTGTTGGGAACAGACAGTGGCAATGATGCATTGCATCTGTATGATGGTGAAATAATACTGTCTTTGGCCAAATGTTTATCATGGTAGTTTAGATAAGGGGACGTCAGTTTGATAATGGGAGTTGGGTGGAGATATTCCGGGTTGTTTTTAAAACAAATCATCTGTTCCCAAGAATGCTAGAAAAATATACGAGGACTCTTTTGGGCCATTGAGTCTGCATACTTCAGGATGATGTGGAAAACATTGAGAAATCATTGTGAAAGCTGTCACATTTGTTCAAAGAAATTACATTAAGGTTTTTTTTCATTTCAACACGTGCATGTTATGGACAAAAACAACACTTAATGTATAATTCAAGTTACAATTTGCCCCCCAAAAACAAGATTTAACGTATTTTCAAGAAGGTTTTTATATATATTCGAACATTAGGAAGTATTTTATCCAAACTGATTTTCTTAAGAGATTTAGATAAGGACAGTACAAAATTATAGCAAACAAAGATAATTAGGTCACGGGCTGGCTCGTTGTTATATTTGTTCTTGTAGTTGAAACAATTTGTCTTTTCCACTCGTTTCAGCCATATTTAAACGTGTATTTGAATACAAATTTATACCATTTTTTCAGTTGACATTTTCGTTTGGTCCAAAATGTTTGGTTATGTAAATCAGGACGATTTACGTTGGACTGGCAGCGTCCAGATGAACGGTAGTGGTGTGCTGCATCGAAGGACACGTGTTGTGCAGGTGTGCTTGTCTTGTCTGCAGGTGTACAAGGAGAGCATAGACGGGTTCGAGCTGGTTGCGGAGGAGGAGTGTGGAGGGGGTAATCTTCGAATGATGAAGAAGCCAATCGGCGTCATCATACAACCTTCCCGACGTGAGTTATAGCATGGCTGGATTTAACAATGGCCTCTTCACTTCCTCCCTTGAAATACCTTCCTTAGTACCATTAAACTAATACCGTGAATATCTTTCCTATATAACCTTGTATACCTTTCCCAAATCGTTGGAATACCTTCTCAAAATATACCAGGATTTGCTTTCCAAATACCCTTTAATTGTATTCTAATATGGATATACCGTTACGGTATCCTTGGAATATCTGCTCCGAATATAGTTGTCATATAGTCCCCAACTACCCTTGGAACTGCTTCCCCAAATGATATGGACTGCAATCTACAAATTCCATTGGGATACCATCCCAAATACGCTTAAACTAATGACGTAAATATCTTCAATAAATACACTTGTATTCGTTTCCCAAATACTTTAGAATACCGTCTGAAATGATTTCCCAATGCCCTTGTGGTTGTATTCTAATATGACCTGGACATACCACACCAAAGTAGCCTTGTGATACCTGCTCCGAATACAATCGTCCCCAAATACCCTTGGACCGCCTTCCCCAAATAGATCCACAAATACCATTGGGATACCCTCTGGAATACCCTTGGACAACATTTCCCTAATTCCCATGGAATACCTTTCTTATAAATCTTAGGAATAGCTTTTACAAATCCCCAGGGAATACATTCCCCGAAAAGCCTTGTTCTACAGTTATTCAATAAGGTTTGATTTGATCTCTGAATCCTCTCCCTTGGAATACCTATCCCCTAAACTTTGAACTACAATCATTAAATACCCTTTGGATGCCATCTCAAATACCCTCGGACCATTTGGCTTGCATTTTAACATCATGGTCCAGATGGATTTTATTCATCACATAATATGCATCAAACATATTTACTCTTTCCTTTTCGAGATAACAGTCTGTTACGGCAGTTGCTGTTATATTTGAATCCTTCTTCAAACATTGTTGTTACAAATACCATTTCAATTGAGAACCTATAAAACCCGCTCTATCGTTCATATTTCAAGTAGGTCACCATGACCCGATTTATTGATTTTCATTCTCTCCACTCTACCTGAGTCATCAAATTTGACAAATTCAACTTATGTAATCCAAATTTAGGCCGCACTACGCGTTCTGTTGAAGTCCACGCATTTCGGTGAGTTTGTTTGCAATTCGACCTGTTCGCAGTTAGGGCCGGCAGTTGGTTTGCATTACAAGTAATTTCTCGTTTTAGCTCATGGTTGAAGTTTGAAATCGCCCTTGAAACAGGATTCCAAAGATACTGAAATTCAGAAAGCACAAGGATCAATTTATATTTCAATTAATTTGCATTAACAATGCTTGGGGGCAGATCTCGTGTATCGCTGGAATGAAAGTCTAGGCCATTAAGATATTCCAGGAAGTGTGTGCGTTCGTGATTGTACAACTCTATCTCAGCTTCTATCAAGCATTAGCAGTTTATATGCTCGAGATCTTCTGACAATACAGCTGTTTATGTCGATGTTTTAAGAACCTTTATTAAATTTTCTTTCCCCCTTGTGGATCCGGGTTATTATAGGTCCGTCGTGTTCTCTTGCTTGTCGTGTCATCACCGTTCTCCATGTTACTCAATGTCAATCACCGGCTAGTCAGGTCCGTATCCTAGATACAGGCTGATATTGCAGGAATATTGCTGATGTGTCATAAAACAACAAACATAACTGAGATTATAATTGAGATATGATAATGTCAATGGAATTCAATTTTGCGCCTTTAGGTTTTGTTTGTTTGTTGTTTAACGCCACACTCAGCAAAATTCCAGCTGTATGACGGCGGTCTGTAAATAATCGAGTCTGGACAAGACAATCCAGTGGTTGACGTCATGAACATCGATGCACGCAATTGGGATACGATAACATGTATTAACCAAGTCAACTAGCTTGACCACTCGATCATGTTAGTCGCCTCTTAGGACATGCATAGTCGCCTCTTACGGCAAGTATTGGTGGCTGTAGATCCAGACTAGCCGTCAGAGGTTACATTGCTTGTCGTAAGATAGTCACACTACGGTAGCGCACGTCCAGGAACAGCCAAACCAAGGGTTGTTAGTGTGAGCAATCAGAATTAGGAACTATACATTCTAGTAGGACACGGAGACCAACTGATCCATTTTTGATTCCCCATGAGAATAAGGTTTGAAGAAACGTCCTTAAACAGATCGGAGTTTTCTGTCTTTCTAATAACGTCGATGTCATCATTTTTCAGAAGCCTGTAAAACTCCCGATCGGAGGGTCCAGCCCCAGCCGAGTACGAACCCCCATACCAGGGCGGAGGGAGAGGGACACACTCATGACGTGAGGGGGGGTCGAGACAACCGAGGATATAGTGACAATAACCATAATACTATCCCCCAGCTGGATAAGAAAGACATCACAATCATAAACACAGGCACAAGGCGGACCTGTTCACTGTGTGTAACTCTTCTATGTGTGCTTGTGACACTGTTGTCATCGCTAAGGTGACATGACCGTCAAGGACCATGACATCATGACATCATGACATTGTGCTCAAGAGGCCCTCCAAGGTCCCTATTCGGGGCACTTGCTGGGTGATCGTTGTCAGAAATCTGTTTCAACATTCCTATCGAGCGAACAGATATGTGATATTATCCGTTTTGTATTCATGTCATAAAGATTATACTGAATCGGGCACTGGCAATCCCACAACGAAAGAAGTGATTCCACATCTGGACGTTGCTCAAGGCGTAGCGCGACCTTCTAGGATAGAGGCGTGCTTTTCTAAAAGGGTACAAACACTGTCCTGTTGGAATCACAAGAAAATAGACACAAGTTCAGTCTGAAGCAACTACCCAAATGCTTTATGATGTGTGTGAGAAAGAAGTCTGCATTGGATTTCAGTGAGCAAACATTCATTATGGCTAACGTCATAAACAAACGTCTTAAATAAACGTCATAACCAGTACGATAGTACAGATGAGCGTTTCTACAAGAATGAAAGTTGCTGTGTTGGGCGATCGCCATATTGGCTATACATAATTATGTTTAAGAGGAACTTATGTGCAGACGTGTATCATATTATTACCCAGACAATAACTAGCCCAGGGGACTACCGAGCCAATCTTGGTGCGCATGCGCCGGGTGTAAATGACGTCACGTGTTTCCGCTTCTCATTCACCCAGCACGCACATTCGGTTAGAGGAAGCTGTTATTACAAAATGGCAAGTTGGTGTTGAGTCTTTCTTTGTTACAGCTGTCTGTTCACGCAGAAGGATTCGTTTCGGCACGCTGCTACAATGACGGCATACTATTCTAAGAGAATCGGACATATCCCCAGACGATCCAAGTGCTCTTTCATCATCATCATCATCATCACCATCATCCTAATCATCATCATCATCATCATCTTTATCATGACGTCATTTTAAGATGCCAATTTCATTATGACGGCTATATGCGAGTTGAGATATGATATCGATACTGTTTGGTGTTTGTGATGCAGAGGAATAGTATATAGATCTGGACAACACGGCTGTTCGCAGTGTACGTGTTTCCAAAGACGTTGTTAATGGTTGAATATTTATTTGTTATAGTTACATGTGTTTTTTTCAAAAGAGTATTCACGGTGACTGGATACCACAAACACTTACTATGTATATGAATGACTAACGAGACACGGTGTTTTGAATGAATGGATATCAACTATTTTGCTATGTATACACTCTGCCAAATTAGGAACATACAATCATACAATCATTTGTTTCCTGCGCCATGGCGCTATTTTCTTGTATATCACTCCGCGACAGAGCCTATTATGGTGTAGAGCTGTGATTAGTCACTTCCTACAATCGTCCGAGATGCGCATGTTTCACCCGGGCTCCAAATGGATCCCATCTGGATCCACCCTGGCTCCACTCCCGGGCGATAACGACACTGTGTACGTGCCTTCCCCATTTCATCAGCTATAAATCGTGTGTCCGTGCGTCCGACCTTCACCTTGAACAACGGGGTCTGACCTTGGTCAGACAATTCAGTTTTTCTTCGATGTCATGTCCAACAAAAGGGCACAGGGTTTCCTGCTTTTACCAAAGCAAATTTCATTAATCTCCATCGTGGCCATGTTTATTTGGTGGATAATCATTGATTTTGTCATGTTTATTGTTAATATTGAACACATGTTTATATGACGTAATATTCAGTGATTTAGTAATTAACTTGTTTGCTATGGAATTGGTTATTTCAATTATTTATCCTGCAGTGTATGTGATCAATATACAATCTTGCAAGATGAAAATAATATTACACCACCCACAATGAAATTAATATATTTGCTTGTAATTCTGTCTATTTTACGGCCAATATATTGCAAACAATTCTACTTAATATTAATTATTTACATTAAAAGAACTTTTAGAAATTGTTAAATTCTTTAAAATGAAGAATATACTTGATGCGAACGTTTGAATACGTATCCGTTTCTGCCACATTCAAAATTATTCAACACATTCATCAACAGTGTTAAGACTAAACTATTTTTGTTTTTGTTAAACCCGTATCGGGTCACACTTGATTAATGTCGGCCTGTCGGTTCTCTACCTGGATGCTCTCCCTTTGTTGAAGGTCACCCAGTGTAGGGGCAGACAACTCTGGTGTAGGTGTTTGGTTCTGTGGCCCTTGTCTGTCGGTTGTGCTTTGCTGGTTCGAACCTGGCAGTGTTACACACACGTGATTTGATGCTGTACGTATCGATAATGTACACAGAGTTTTTAATCTGCTGTAAGATACTGGATCAGTTTTGTAAAATCATGGACGAAATTATGTACAGTGGATGTATAAAGTATATCTCGCAATAAAATATGTATAAAATATGACTCATCGTTGCTTTTATATATGTACATTATCTATGTAAAATATATCTTAAAGTTATTATATTTTTTGCAATTCTAAACAGATAAAACAATTACATTTAGAAAGTAGGACATTGTCTCTTCTGAAATGCTAGTTTATCATGTAATATAATGATAACAGTGTTATCTCTGCAGCCAACCTATCCGATCAATTTGGTATCACGATCAGATAAGATTCCAAACGAGATCACCAGGCAGGAACTAAATTTAACCTCCAAACATCGATTCAATGTCTGCTTTTTTCAATAAACTATTGACGAAGGATGCCAATAAGTTTAGATATAGATTTTCCGATGTGTGGCGCATTATGTCGACAAACATGACTGCCAAAACATTTGGCGCTATGTGACACTATATTCAAATGGGGTTTCTAAAGTTACTTCTGAACATTATTTTAAGTTTGACATCATAGATAAAGACATTTACCCTCGTGTGTTTACGTGTCGTAAATATCAAATATTAGGAATAGAAAATATATATCTCCATTTTTTTTATTTATGCAATTTTTATTCCTGGTATATGACTTCATGATACGGAAACACACTCAACTAATAACCTCTATATACCTGAACCTCGTTATGCAGGACGTTACCGTTCCTAGTAAAAACGTCCGGAAAAACACCTTTAGTACCGACTAACGGAGTAATAAGATTCTGTACAAGTTCCTAACAGTGATTGTCCATAAAAGCGGGGGTCCACATTAACGGGGTCAAAACTAAGAGTAGTTTGTGTATATTTGGGAAGTCGTCTTGTCTATCGACACCAAGCGAAAGTTGAATGTTTGTATTAGCCATCCGGAAAAGGGAAGATTCCGTATTAACGGGGTCCAGACTAACAGAGGTTCTTGTTTAGTCATGTTGGTCGTGTTCTTTCTGATAACAAATCCCGAGGAAGAAAGTTTAATATTCAAATTTTGTCATCAATTTTGCATGCTAAGTAAGGAAATATTATCTACGACATAAACTGTGCCTGTAATTTGAAGATAAAACGTCCATGACACTCCCTGAGGCGACATTCTGATGTTGGCGGACTTGGCTGTACATCTTGTACCGCGATAAAAAGTAATCGATAACCGGCTATGCCATCCACTGTAACAGCAGGTGCCGTATGTTAGGCGATGAGGCAGTTCACATCGAGGTATTGAACGTTCCGAAAAGTGGTCGACTTCAACATTTGTTTTATGCATCATGGTGCATTGTCTTCTGTGTAGTGTGTTGAGTATAATAGCGTTACTGCAGCCGTTCTGGCCCTGCCTGCAATTCCCCTCCAAGATCTACAGCGTGTAATTCGGTTCAAGGTGTTTGGATGTGAGAATGAAAACCTACTTCAAAAGGACGTGGTCAAAGGAGTCGCCATCCGCAGAGTTGCTCCCCTTAGTTGTCAGGATCCGCTGATGACTGCTCTGAATCCAAGGTCCGCTCCGATGATGGTATTTGTCTGTCAGCATCCTCAATGGATTTCCCAGATGTGTAATAGCCCTGCATCACTTCAGCTAGACTAACGCGTAGTCTTTGATATTTTATAATTTTGATAGAAACAAACAACTCCATGTGAGTTGAATGAGCCCCGTGAGAACCTGTGTAAAATCTAGACTTGCTTCATTTAGGGGTATAGCAGTGGAGTGAGAGATTTGCTGAAGGGGACATAATAAGGTTAGGGAAGTGTGAGAGAGACTACGCTTCAGACTGGCCTCGTCCGTTTGATGGGTGGACTAGGGGTAAGAGTGTTCGCTCGTGACGCCACAAGTGGTGATCGATTCCCTATATTGTGTGGATTGCTATTTTGTGTGTTCCTTATTGTGATGTTGTGTACAATAACACAAAACACACGCACGCGATTAGTGTATACAAACAATATGGATTTTGTATCGTCTTTGAGGAGTGACTCGGGGTGGTTCCGTTGTATATACTGGTGTAACATGTCTGTATGCATGCAGAATATTGGATGTGGAAACAGCCTATGATGACCGGTACATGGATGGAGTTAAGAAATCACCCCAGATAATTTAGGTCCCATCCTCGACTGTATGGGGAATCATATTGTATGTACGGATTAATTGTATTTACGAGTGTATCAAAATATATTGGAAAACATCATGTGGACTGACTAAAATAACAGGGATCACCCTTGATAATAGAGGTCTCATCCTCAGTTGTATAGGGCATTGTATCTCCATCTCGCTGTGCGGAGTTGCGTTCCTTTGGCGTCCCAGAATCCGATGGTCGTGTTTCAGTCCAGATGCGCACTGATTATGTTCCTTGGTTTGACCAAGTGGGTTTTACCGAAAGGTATATATGTCACAGAGAGAGAGAGAGAGAGAGAGAGAGAGAGAGAGAGAGAGAGAGAGAGAGAGAGAGAGAGAGAGAGAGAGAGAGAGAGAGATTAATCAACTCAGACACAGCCGTGTATGCTAATTCCTAGCCGATCAGTCCTTGTGTGTCTACTTGTACATGATGTCCGGACTAACCAGGTTCTATAGTGCTAGCCCACTGAGGTACCATGCCACAGTTTGACATGAATACCCAACCCAGACACAGCATCCTGACTCCGAGCCGACAAATCCTTGTCTTATCCCCTTAATTTCGAGTGCTAGGCAGGGTAACAACAAGCATCATTTTACCTTTCTTTTACCCATCCGCTCCCTGGGCAGACACTAAACTACTGATGCGGCCCGCCAATTTCAAAGATAAATAAACGCTTCGGTGCCTTCTCACAAGAATATTTTTGGGAATAGATATCTAATTTTGAACTTTTGAGTCGGGTGAACGTACCAACATTGATGTTCAGCACATCTGCTTTAGACTGGGAAGCATCACGTTCAAGTTCCCCGTAGCGTACAAACATTAATGAATGTATTAAAAACAAACAAATATTGATTCTAAAAACGAATTAACCTCCTGGGTAGAATGTTTTAGAGAACTGTCAATATGCCCATGAGAACTTCAAAACATCCTCTTCGTGCTATAATGTTTTAGAATTACAAAAAAAAAGCTTTTAAATGTTCGTCGTATAGCAGTAATACATTCAATCTAATAGTCTGCACTCAAAATATCCTCGGCACCTCGGTCTTAATTCTAGACAGCTCTTACCCTTGTACTCAGTTGAACCCTTGTATAGATGCCTTGCTGATAAGCCTAGATGTTGTGTAAGGTATATTCCCAGTGCCATTCAAGTAAATAGCCTGTTTGCTCAACAGCTGATGACTGGGTAAATAATGAAAGGAATAGCATAGACTGCACAATGTGGATATATTTGCTCAGTATTCTTCAATACTGTCCGTGTGCGACCTTTTAACATTGCTATTAACAACTAGGTTTAAATGGGCCGAGGCGGTTTTCTCGATAGATTGCGATTGCGGAAGTAATTTTCCAAATGAATAGAATTAAACAGCGCCAAGTACCAGAACACTGACTCTCATTAGCCGTAGATAGAATGTCGTATACATTTCAGCTTAACGGTACTTAATTATAACATTGTTTTTTAGGAGAGTATCTTGGATTGGGTAGCATCATGTCGGAAATGGACTGATGGCGAAACCCATTCAGGTTGCCGTCACACGTTGAAGGCCTATGTTTGATTTCCACATGGCTAAGATTTGTTAAATCTATTCTTGGTTTAATTAAGGTGTAAAATCTAACCCTCACTTACTCCACGCTCACTCCGGATAATCTACACGCCTGGTCGCTTGCATCCATTAACACATGCCTTCCTCCTGAACATGTCACGTGTTTCGTCAAGGGAGATAATTAGCATAATCTGCTGGCACGACAATAAGATGGCGTCACGCTTGTTCCCGCTTTGTCAGTGTGCTGTATTAAACAGAACTTTTAACACCCTCATTACTCGAGGGACGGGCATTTATGCGTGCTAAATCTGTGAATGATTCCCCGCAATATGTCGAAGGGCTATTTCCTAAGCACCAGAAAGGAACAAAGGGAGTGATTCATAGAATTACAACAACTGCTCTTTCCTACTTCAATAAACTCAATCCATTATCTGTAGGACTAATCAAGCTGTATCGTCACCTAGCCATGAAACTAGCTCGGCCGTAACGCGGAGAATCCGGTCTCTTTAGCAAGCCCCCCATCAACCCCCCCTACACCTCCTCAAGCGCTGCTCAGTTGAACGCCCCAATCTCCACTCGACATCAAACAGGGCAGTTGGATGTAATATTACAGGGTATGGCTGCTAATTGTCGTGCTCAGTTGTGTGACGGTGAGATTTTCTGCCTGATTGTTATCTTAACCGTTGAACCTTCACGTGTGTGATGAACTGCGCAACTCAATTATGCAACGTATAGAATGAACCAGTCGAGCATTAAAGTAAATCGTGCACATGGGTAAAACTGACGTTTTAGCTTAAATGAGAGACGGGGAACTTGCATGGGTCGGTAACTAATATGAATTCACCACCGGAACGATCGTCTCAAGTTTGTTATTATCTTTCGAATCAAGATATATAGATATGGAGATTCCAGATCAAATCATGGAGATTCCTGATCAAATCATGAAGAATCAGTATCAGGCCGTAGAGATTCAGGATCAGGCCATGGAGGTTCAGGATCAAACCGTATAGAATCAGGATCAAACCGTAACCGTTCCGGATCAGACCATGGCTATTCCTGATCAAACCATGGAGGCTCAGCATCAGACCGTGGAGATTCCGGATAAAACCGTAGAGGTTCAGGACCAAACCGTAGAGGTTCAGGATTAAACCGTAGAGGTTCAGGACCAAACCGTATAGGTTCAGGATTAAACCGTAGAGGTTCAGGACCAAACCGTATAGGTTCAGGATCAGGCCGTAGAGGTTCAGGACCAAACCGTAGAGGTTCAGGATCAAACCATAGAGGTTCAGGATCAGACCAATGGAGGTTCAGGATCAGACCATGGAGGTTCAGGATCAAACCGCATAGATCCAGGATCAAACCGTAGAGGTTCGGGATCAAACCGTATAGATCCAGGATC